GAGAGACAGAGAGAGAGAGAAAGAAAAAAAGAAAGAAAAAAAGAAAGAAAGAAATAGGAAGAAAGGAAAGGAAGGAAGGAAGAAGGAAAGAAAGAAAGAAGGAAGAAAGGAAGGAAGAAAGAAAGAAAGAAAGAGAAAAGAAAGAAAGAGAAGGAAAGGAAGGAAGGAAGAAGAAAGAAGGAAAGAAAGAAAGAAAGAAAGAAAAAGAAAGAAAGAAAGAAGGAAGGAAAAGAAAGAAAGAAAGAGGAAGGAAGGAAGGAAGGAAGGAAGGAAGGAAGGAAGAAAGAAAGAAAGAAAGAAAGAAAGAAAGAAAGAAAGAAAGAGAAAGAAAGAAAGAAAGAAAGAAAGAAAGAAAGAAAGAAAGAAAGAGCCAGTGGGTGGCTAAGAGATCTTTGTAGAGGCTGAACAGGGTTGCCTTGCTCCTTGCCTCTCCTAATTAGTAACTGGGGTGGAGGGAGAGTGGGCAGATGGCAAAGGTTTGTGGAGCATCAGCCCCTCATTAGGAGTAAGCCCCCTCCCCTTTAATTGGACTCAAACGAGAGAGGAGGAGAGAAGCCTTTACAATATGTTCTTGGATAAGCCCCTACAGGGTAGGGAGGAGAGGATCTGGGTCTCTCTCGCCCTCCCCAAGAAATAAGAGTCCATTTGGTTGGGTCTGGCTTATGAGTTGAGGCTAATAACAAGCAGCTTGATGGTCATTCAGGAATGGGGGGAGGCACCAGGGGGGGGCTGCTTCTAGGGGCGGGCAAGGTTCCTTTGAATTGAGAGTTTTCCCCCTTTGAATATTCTTGGAGAGAATATTTGGAGCTGAGGGTTGAACTGTGGGGTCCCTGGTGCCCTCTGAGCTTGGGGGTTTCCTTGCAGAAGTTCTCATGACCCAACTAGGTTAACCTCATCAGTGCTATCAAAGTTGAACGACGCGTCTGCCAGAAAACCACCAAGCTCAGAGAAGCACCAAGCACACCCCACCTCCCCAAAGTGGAGCATTGCTGAGTGGAGACTTGTTGTTTGATTTTTGCCATTTTCCATTAACACGACTGCAGAGTTTGCATCGATCCGCGGTGAAGGTCCTTAGGATGTCTTCCCAGATTGATCTTGGTTTGATTGGGCGGAAATAAGTTCTACCAGCAAAGCATCCTGGGTGAGAGCTGAATCCCTGTTCTTGGGGACCGAGGCAGGGCTGACTCTGGATGAATAATAATAGTAGTAAAGTTGGAAGGGACCTTGGAGGTCATCTAGTCCAACCCCCAGCTCAGGCAGGAAACCCTATACCATTTCAGACAAATGGCTGTCCAGTCTCTTCTTGAAAACTTCCGGTGTTGGAGCATTCACCGCTTCTGGAGGCAGGCTGGTTAATTGTTCTCACTGTCAGGAAGTTTCTCCTTAGTTCTAGGTTGCTTCTCTCCTTGATTAATTTCCACCCGTTGCTTCTTATCCTGCCTTCACGAGCCTTGAAGAATAGCTTGACTCCCTCTTCTTTGGGGCAGCCCCTGAGAGATTGGAACACTGCTATCCTGTCCCCCCTCCTCCTTCTCTTTGTTAAACTAGACATACCCAATTCCAGCAACCGTTCCTTATATGTTCTAGCCTCCAGTCCCCTAATCATCTTTGTTGCTCTTCTCTGTACTCTTTCTAGAGTCTCAGCATCTTTTTTGCATCGCGGTGACCAAAACTGGATGCAGTATTGATGAAGGGAGAGAAAGGTCCAAAGCACAAAAGCCTGCAAAAGCTTTGGGTCAAGAGATCCCTCCTTAAAAATATGTTATCCTCCCTGGAGAGGATCTGTTTTGGTTAGCCTGGCCAGAGAACAATGTGGAAACTCCTGCTTCGCCCTTTAATTAAACGTAGGGAAGGGAAGGGCCGAGCTGGAGAGCCACCCTCCCTTCCTAAAAACAAAAATAAAGATGAGCCAAGCAGATGGGAAGTCCCCACCTTTTCATCAGGGCTGTTCCCACAGCCTCTCGAGGTCTCGGAGGGCAACAGGTGGCTAGTTGGCTCTGGACCGAGGCCCGGTTAATTTTTTTTGCTCAGCCGTGAACCTGGGGAAAAGCACTGTGAATTGACTTATTATCCACAAGAGCGTGCAGCTGGTCGGAGCTGGCACCGGTACCCGTGTTGGCTCTCCAGAGATGCCGAAAGGATGGACCTAGTTGGCACGGCACGCCTTAAAAGATGGCATGAGGGCAGAACCAGAGTTTGTGTGCCTTAGCCTCCGTGCGAGATTTCAGCATTGCAGTAATATTCTTCTGTCCAGGAAGGGCGTGAAATTGCACCTCCGCAGGTCTTGGCGATGGCTGATCTCCTTCTCAAGGGTTCCTTCCTTCCACCTGCCAGATGTGACTCGCACACACACCCTCCTCCTTGTTCCCTGGAGGGGGGGGGGGCGTTTGCAGGGTTGTGTTGATTTGCTGCTTTGATGGGAAAACAGCTCTCCTGGGACACTTTTGCAGACTGGGGTAATGAGGAAGAGAGGGCGTGGGTGCACCTGCAGGCTTAAGCCAGGATGTGCCGAAGAAGCAGTCCTTGATTTGGGGGTGGGCTTTCCCGGGTCAATCGGTCAGTCTGAGTCAAAGACCAGTACAATTAAAAATGCTCAAGGAGTATCCAGTTAAACATTCTAGAATAACAAATAACAAATAACAATTATTGTTATGTTAAGATCATAATCTGCCATCCCTTCTGTCAGTTGCGGGTAAACAACAACACAACATGGCCCAAGCTATAATATTAACCCTTAAATTGTGAAGGCCTATCTATGGTCATTAGATACAACAAAAAATGCAACAATACTGAAAAAATTGCTGCATTAACGGTGTAAAATAGCTGGTAAAATGATGGATTGAGCTTCCGGTTCCGACAAATCTTTAGTGCCGCTGCGCACAATCTAGCTACCTGCTCTGTAAGTTTTGCTAAGTCATCTGAATGAGAGAATGGGAATGAGGAGAGAGAAGAAGCCTCCTCTTCAAATATTGTCCCTTTTCTATACCCTTTTCTTAAAAACCTCCAATGGTGGAGCACCCACAACTTCTGGAGGCAAGCTGTTCCACTGGTCAACTGTTCTTTCTCACTGTCAGGAAATTTCTGCTTAGTTCTAGGTTGCTTCTCTCCTTGGTTAGTTTCCATCCGTGGCTTCTTGTCCTGCTTTGGAGAATAGCTTGACTCCCTCTTCTTTGGGGCAGCCCCTGAGATACTGGAAGACTGCTATCATGTCACCGCTGGTCCTTCTCTTCACTAGACTAGCCATGCCCAGTTCCTGCAACCGTTCCTTATATGTTTTATCCTCCAGTCCCCTAATCGTCTTTGTTGCTCTTCTCTGCACCTTTTCTTGGATTTGAAGCAATCTTGTGTTCCTTTTGGCAAATCCAGGTTGCTGCTGTTTCCCGCTCCATCCCCCCAATTCTTCCTCCCTGCAAAAATCTGTGCTGAGTCAGGCTTTCCCCTGAGGCCTCCCCCTCGCCCCACCTCTCTGCTCATCTCCTTCTTTAATTGCCACCGGGAAATCATCTGACTTTTGGAGCCTTTGTGACCTTCAGGAGACTGGCAATTAAACGCCTGCCTGCCTGCCTGCTTTGGGATCTGCCCATGGTGCTTTTGGGGTCCAAGCTGAACAGATCTTGCTCTCTTCATCCCACCTTGATCAGAAATGCCCACTTCTGGCTTTGGAGAGAAAGTGAGAAGGGCTGTAGCATCCAGGAATGGCCGTAGAGCAGGGATGTCCAACCTTGGCAACTTTTAAGACTTGTGGACTTCAGCTCCCAGGAATTCCCCAGCCAGCAAAGGGTTTTTAAATCCTTTTTTTTTTTTTAAAGGATGTTTTAAGGATTTAAAACCTTTTTAAAAAGCACTGAAAATCAAGTTTGTATGGTTTTAAAAGCTTGGTTTGAAACCAAGGGGTTTTTAAGGTTTTGAAACCTCTTTAGAACCAAGTTTGGAATGTCACTCTTGTGCGTTGTAGCACAAAGCCACAAGCATGCCGATTGTAGGAAAATGCAGGTCTGAGTGAGGTTAGGGGCTCTGGACAGAGGACTCTCAATCCAGGGATTTCTTGTAGGTTTTCATGTTTTGTGTGGGCGCCTAGAGGGCTGAGATGCCTGGGCAACACTCTGCCAGTTGGAGGGTGTGCGTCGTTGACAAACACACCCAGCCTCTAGCTAAATCCAGCCACCGCTGTATAAACAGAGTGGGTTTAAGTCCCTGTCATCATCTTCCGTGATGCTACATGCGGTCTCCATGTATGCAGTTTCCATAGAAATATACGTCGCTGGTTCTTTGGCCATAATTCAGAATTTTCTGCTCTAATAGCAGCGGCTCTGCCTCGCTGGAGGTGCCAGAGGCAGAACTTGGGAGGACTTACGCCAGCGATGGGTGCCCATTCCTGAGCTACAAGTAGCCCTTGACTTACAACCGTTGGCTTAAGGACTGTTCAAAGTTACAACAGCCCTGAAAAAAGGGACATGTGGGTCCTCACCTTTATGACCATCCCAGTGTCCCCATGGGGTCTTTGCAACCAACGTATATTTATGACCGTTGCAAAATCCCAGGGTCAGCTGATCACCCTCTGCAGCCTTCCCGGGCAACGCCCAACAAGCAAACTCAACGGGGAAAACCAAATTAACATCCCTGGCCAAAAAAAGGTCATAAAATTAGGTGTGACTCGCTCAGTAACCGCCTTGCTTACCCATGGCTATTCTGATCCCAGTTGTGGTCGTAAACCGAGGACTCCCCGTTAGAAGGGAGCTTTGTTCTCCATTTTTTGTGCTTAGGTAGCAGAATTGATGGGTCAATTCCTCCCCCCGGCCACCCGCCCAGTTTCCTTCCTTGCTCTAATTTTGCACGTCAGATGTTTTATGGAGTCGATGTTTATTTTTATAAGACAGAAAAGTCTAGCAGCCTAATTGACTGTCTGCACTTAGAGCGAATGGACAGGAAGGCAGTCAAGAGAAGAGTCTTGATTGAAGGAAATCTAAGCAGTCTTCAGAAGGGGAACCTCTGAAACCGCCATGGAGGAGTTGGGTAGGCAGATTCTATCCGGAGGTGTCCAATCTTGGCAACCTGAAGAGACCTCTGGACTCCCTAGAATTCTGGGAGTTGAAGTCCACAGGTCTTTAAAATTGCCACCGGTTGGACAACCCCGTTCTAGGCGGTGTCCACCCCTTTTAAAGACGAACTGTGTGCTGTACGGGTTAGATTGTTGGAGTGGGACCAGGAAGATTCAGCCGAAATCCCCTGTGAACTGTGGAGCTCGTTGATGGTTGGGGACCAAGTCAACCTTCTAACCCAACGTCCTTCAAAGGGTTGTCATGGGGGATAACATTGGAAGAGGGAGGCCAGCTTGTCTCCAGCATTAGAGGAAGCTTCAGATTGTGATAAATCTGAAGGAAATGGGATTCCCTGTACTTCCAAAGAGAATAGAGAAAATCTGGAGCCTGGTCATTGGGGCCTCAAGTAAGAACTTGGGGTTGAGTTGTTCTAGTATCCATTTTGTGCTTGGCTCGCCTTCGTTAATGGTGCGTAATCACTGGAGGCTCCTTAGTTGCCTTCCTGAACAACATCTGGATGGCGTCTTGCTGCTGTTCAGTTCTTCTCTAGGGGGCTAGCTCAGAAGCTTGCCTTCCCACCTGCTAGTTCCACCTCTTTCTTTCTCTTTTCTCCACGGGGTTCCTGCCATCTTGTCATTGTCTCTTTAGCTGGCTGTCTCTGCCCCTGGAGCTTCTTAGCGCTCAATGGAGCCGAGACACAAATGCTGAGGATGCAATTCTGGACTCTGAGGAATTTCAAGAGTGGGACTTGCCAAGCATGTGAGCAGTTGGTGTTGGTCTGTGTGCATGCCGATGAAGCATTTTCTGTTAGATTCCTCCCTGTGTGTGTGTGTGTGTGAGCAGTGTCTTTGACAGGGGTGTCCAACTGGGGCAACTTGTGGACTTCAACTCCCAGAATTCCCCAACCAGCCATGGGTTTTTCAATCCCATCATCCTACTCCTGTACAGTATCAAGCAGGATTTCTCAACTGTGTAAGACTTTTGACTTCCAGAATTCTGTGTGGTTAGATTTGTTAGCTCTGAGAAGAATCTAAAGCAGGGATGTCCAACTGTGGCAACTTTTAAGACTTGTGAACTCCAACTCCCAGAATTCCCCAGCCTTGTTAAACGAGGACTACCTGTATACACATATAGACTTTGGAGAGCAATCTAGGAGCAGCCTACAAGGGCTGGCATTGACTCCCTCCGCCATCTGTGTCTCCCCTTCTAGGGATCGATCTCTCAGCAAACCAAGATGAAGAGGGGGACCAAGAGACCTTCCAGATGGAGGTCAACAGAGAGACCAAAAAATGTACCTTCAGGACTTGTACAGGGAAGTACTGGACTCTGACCTCCAACGGTGGGGTGCAATCCACTGCCTCAACTAAGTGAGTTCTACTTACCCCAAGGTTACTAAGATGTTTGTGTGAATGGGATACGATTCAACGGTTGAGTTCTTGCTTTGCTCTAAGGCTAAGCCCTTAAATTGCTTGCTCGAACATGCTGTAGGAATCCCACCATTCTAGTTTATTTAACCAAGCAGTTGAAGTAACCCATTCGCTTAGCATGAAGAGCCCAGCCTTTGGTCCTGTGGGGAACGGGGTTTTAATTTCCAAAATACCGAGTGCTCAATGGGGTGTGTCTCTACACGCACAGAAACACTATCTGCTCCCAAGAGAGAATAATTCAGACCCAGTGAACTTAAAACGGCCCTTGTGCAAAAACAAAACTAAAATAGCATCCGAGTCCACGATAGCTTGCTTGGACTATTCTGGAAGGTTTCTGAATTGGAAGCCCAATGGTGTCAAACTCCCAAACGCAACCAGAATACCCAAACAATCTATCTCAAATTGGAAATGTTTTGTGTACGTCTACAGCGCTGTTGCCGTAAATGTTTACTTGCTCGGGGCTTAAGAAAATAAATAAATCTGAAAAAATGAGCGTGGGTTGGAAAAGACTCAACCCATTGACCATTAAATTTGTAGAGATGGGTGGACCACGCTCTCCAGAGGCCTTAGCGTTTTTCAGAAGCCTGCGGAGAAATTGGGTAGAAAGCCACCATCGTCACTCGAGGTGTGCCCAAAGCGTTCTTGGTTGCACTGTGGTCCTGACAAGGGGTGGAATTCCTGGTCTCCTTCTGGTCCTCCTGATGTGAGGGCTTGAGAGGTCCTTTTCAATCTTCCTTTGCTCCAGCAGGAATGCCAACTGTTACTTCGACATTGAGTGGTGTGACCGGCGTATCACTCTGAAGGCTGCCAACGGCAAATACGTCACCGCCAAGAAGAATGGGCAGCTTGCTGCTACGGTTGAAACTAGCAGTAAGTCCTTTTTGTATGTCTGCCTGTTGGGAGAAGCCAGACGTTTGTAGCAGTGGGAGCAACCACTGGCTAGAACGTGGCCATTCTGAGCTGGGGTGATTGGATGGGAAGTTGAGTTTGTTTGCCGGTAAACAGCGCGTCATTCCTCTGTTCTCCAATGGCAGGTGAGACAGAGCAGTTCCTCATGAAGCTGATCAACCGGCCAATCATTGTTTTCCGTGGAGAACATGGCTTCATTGGCTGTCGGAAGATGACAGGCACCCTAGATTGCAATCGGTCCTCTTACGATATCTTTCAGCTGGAGTTTAACGATGGTGCCTACAATATCAAAGGTAAGGGCAGACCCTTCGGATGGCATCAGTCAGTCTTCCCCAACCAATTGCCCTACTGCAGCCTGATGTCAACTCCCAGAATTCTTGGCCACACTGGTTGGGAGGATTATGGACCACCAAAGTCAGGAGAAGGCTGGCGATGGTCTTCCACATCACCTCCCGGAGGAGAAAAGATTGACCAGTAGGAAGTTCACGTTAAGGCAGGTTGAACGGTCCTTGACACAGTTCCTCAAATCGTTTGGGTAGAGACTCTTGGAGATTGCAGGAGAAAAGCAGGCAGAGCTGGGGGCAGAGTTAAACAAGTCATCAGCCTAGAGTGTTTTTGTTGCCACAAACATCCAAGTCCAATAACTCTTGAACTCTGTTGACCTTTATCAAGCACCATTTGAATGTTGAACTTTAGTTGACCGGATTCTTGTGTGTAGGTGTGAATAAATCTTCCATGCTGTAATCTTACAAATGGCCCTGATCCTTTGCGCCTGACAGAGCCATCCAGTGGCCATGCTGGAGGTGCCTCCATGAATCGGAGCGTGCTCACCTTCCCTCTTCCTCTTCTCGTTTGCAGATTCCACTGGGAAATACTGGACGGTGGGAAACGAGGCATCCATCACCAGCAGCAGCGATTCTCCTGTGGACTTCTTCTTTGAGTTCTGCGACTTGAACAAGGTGGCCATTAAGGTCAACAACAAATACCTGAAGGGTGACCATGCTGGGGTCCTCAAAGCCTCTGCCGATGCCATTGACCCCTCCACCCTCTGGGAGTATTAAATGCACTTTAGTCTCCTTCCCTTCGCTCTATGCTTCCTCTCTCCCCCACTTCCTTTTTTTTTCGGTTGCCAACTTCCTGCAGGAATTTCCTTTGATATGTTCTGGTGTGTCTTTTACAAAAGAGAGGGATTCTGTCTTTCAGACTGGCCTGCCGCCTTTGGCCTGCCATGCTGTTGTTGTTTGCTTAAGTTGGCCTTTTCCCTTTGTTATGTGAGTTTCACTTAAAACTGGAATGAAGCATCCTTTGTTTGCAGAAAAATGTCCTGCCCTCAGCTCGTGGGGAGAGGAAAGAAGGGAAAAGTTGGGTGAACTCTCCCTTGGCCTCTACTGGTCCTTCTGAATTGAAAATTCAGAATTCCCATTCCATCGCCCACCAGTTAGGTCTTCTCCTCAGAAGGAGAATCGTCAAGAAGAGCTAGTATTGAGGTCAGCAAGAGGCCACTTTGGAGAACCTTGAAGGTTTTGTGTCTTCGTTGCCTCACCTTCTGGCTCAGTGTAGGTGGGCATCCGTAACTCTTGTTCCAACTGGGCCTTCCAGTTTGAGGTGGGGCATTATCTGTAGTAGGAATGAAGAGCTCTCTTGGCTTTGGATCTTAACTTTCTTGCCCCCGTCTCTCACGAAGATAGAGAAGAAGTAGCTTAGCGTATCTTGTCATTCCATGGGAGAAGGTGTTGGCGAAAAGAGTCAAGAGGCGAATCTAAAATGAGCTACCAAAATAGTAGGAAAGAAGCTCTGTCTTTATGCTCACAGACCAAAACAAGCTGCTTTTTATGAATGGAATTGTACTGGACCTCAACCCATTCATCTCATCATCAAAGACTTGAGTGAATTCCTTGTTCCTTCTACCCTTGTGTGCTTTTAGGTGCCCCCCAAAGCATCTCTGAACATCTCTCCAAAACACACCGAGAAGCCATTGATGCTGCCTTATGGTTCCTTTCCCTTTCTCTTTGGAAGATGCAACTGTTGTTGAATTTCCCTTTTTTTTCCTCCTCTTTTCTAGCTTCTCATAATTTGGGGTCTTAGAATTTCATTAGAGCAGGCCAGGGCCACTTTGAAGCTGTTGCCTACAGAGGGTCGCATCAGATAAGGCGTTGAGTTGCACGTTAATATGTCCGCATGTCTTTTCTCCTCCCTTTTGCCTTGGATGGAGAGAACCATCTCAACATCTCCTATTTCCCTCCACCATTCACCCATGACAGGGTGGTTTTCCCCGCCAGCAGCTGACACAACTGACTTGGAGACAGATCTCCGGTTGAACAGAACTTTAGTCAGGGCACGGATCAGTCTGCAGGAGGACTGAGACCTGTGGATCTCCCTTGGTTTTCCTCCCAAGTACTTCCCACTGAAGTGTCTTCACAGATTTGGGAGGAGATATAAAAGACAAGAGGGGGGAAGGCGACAGGAGGAGGAGGAGTGGGTCAAGCCGAGATGAAGCCATGCTGTGCATCCACAAACGTTCAGGGGAAACCTCCATCGCCAACTATCTGTGTTCCTTAAACTAGCATCATTTGCACAATACATGTTCACTACATCGTTCTACCTGTTGACCCTTCTCCAAATTGTATCTCTGAATCAACATAGCCATTTCTGGCTTTCTGCATCTCAGCAGCTTCTCAAAATCTCATCTCATCTCTTCTCTCTCAGCAAGTTGTATGAGGGTCTCCCCAGGACGGCTTCCAAGCATCATCTCATGCCCCACGGGGCCCGCTTCTTTGATCCCGTTGTATGAGGGTCTCCCCAGGACGGCTTCCAAGCATCATCTCATGCCCCACAGGGCCCGCTTCTTTGATCCCGTTGTATGAGGGTCTCCCCAGGACGGCTTCCAAGCATCATCTCATGCCCCATGGGGCCCGCTTCTTTGATCCCGCACTTGCCCCGCAGAACCCCTAAAAGTGGAAAGTTGATCAGGAAGTGTCTTCTCGTGACTTAGATCAACCTGTCCTCCGAGCCAACCTAACGTAGCCGCCCTACTAGATTTGCTGTTCTACATAGCCAACTTCGATCTTTGTCATACGTTGCTTAACTCTTTGGGAAGCCCGGAAGAGTCTTGTGTGCACGCACACTTTTTGTGTGGATTTATTATTATTTTTGTCCAATGTGATGCCTTCTCGGGGTTTTAATCTCTGTTTCCTTAGGCCAAGCAGACCCCCAATTTACACTGAAGTCCGCAGGGACTTTGCTTGAATGGTGCTCTGGTTCTCTTTCTACCCAAATCCATGAATTTGTTGAGACCCAAATTTGTACTCGCTAAACACGTAATTTTACAGGATGCACAGGAGTGGGGTTCACCAAATTTTCAAAGGGGTGGTGGGTTTTTGATTGACCGAGAGAACATCAGGGACATGTCCTAAGCCTTAAAAAGCATCCACACTCTGGCATCATAAGGTGTCTTCAATAGGAATTGGTGCTCTAACTTCATAGCAATGAAAATTATTTGCCTTATGAGTAAAAGAGGGCTTGAGCTGGGGTTCACCTGGGAATCTTAACTGGAGTGTGCTGGAAAGTTCTGGAAACTATAAAAACTTGTGAAAGAAACTACAGTTTTGGGGGGGCAGAGATGACTACCCAGTGGGCGTGTTTGTTGGCCTTCACAGTCTGTCCTGTGTCCTGTCTCTTTGCCCACCTGGTGGGAACTGGATCATGTACACCTCACTGCCTTTCCTCCTGTTAACAGTTTTTTAAGTCAAGAATTCTTGGCTCCTATTTCCTTGACTATTGTGGCTATGAAAAGCATCTCATATCCTGATAATGTTTAGTTAATGTTTTGTTTTTGTTTTCCCTTTTAAAAACACTTTTGTAAGTGCCATTTGTATAAGAAGCATCAAATGGAGAAGAGAATTGACAAAATAAAAACCTGCATACAGATATGAAACGAGTGGCTATATGACTGTTTTTTTGTTTTAGAAGTTACTTTGATTCATTTGGGAGATTTGAGCCATGCACTGTTCTCTTTTCTCTGCTGTTCTCTTAAAACACTGATCCCCCACAGAATGTATCCTAGTTTAGCAAGGCACGCAAACACAAAACAATGTGATTTACAGGACCCAAAAGAGGGGAGCCCTGCAAAGTATATTTTCCTCTTCCTAATTAATTTGTAGACAATTCACCCACAAATGTTCATTTGTGGAAGGGACTGTCCTCTTTGCACAGGTGTAAGCCACAACAGTGTTGGTGGGTTAACACCAAGCAATAAACCATACCCCAATTGAGGAACTACCAACTCAAGAAGCAGCAGCCTGATCAAGAGTGCTCCCACAAACACTGACAGGGAAAACCACTTGAATATAAACAAAGCAAAGCCCACTCCTTTCTAGCACTGATGATGTTACCTACTTGGGTCATGAAACGTCTGCAAGAAAACACAAAGCTAGAGAGTACCAAGGACCTCTCATTATGATTTAGCAGGATATTTGAAACCAGACTGAGACTTAGTTCCTTCCTCCAAAGCTACATCCTTAAGAGGAAGCTGGAAGACCCAACAAGATGGCGTTTTTAGCCCTTGGCATTAAAAACCATTCCTTCCTCCCACTTAACTTGGTTGAATACAAAGGTAGCTGACAAAGACCCTGGGCTTCTGGCTGACTATATTGCTTCTAATTTTCATAAGCTGAGTCCCTTCCCGTGAGAACTTTAATGAGCTCTGGGACCCCAATCATAAACTTCATTTCCCCCCCCCCCCAAGACTGAATAGCAATGGTGGGGAAAAGAGAGATAAATGCAATTACGGTTTAGATCTCCCCATTATCCTGATGTTGCTTTTGAAGCGCTATGCTAGACATCTCCTTAAAAAGCAATTGTGGGTTTTCAAGGATTTTTTTTTTTTTTTTAATCTGCTTTGTTCGGCAGGAAATCTCTTGAAATGTGCATCTGTCCTTCAGCTCAGGGGCTTTAATATTAAGCGCTCCGACAAAGATCAGACTGTCTACTCTAAAGGATGCACAGGGCACTTTACACAAAAGGTACTTGCTTGCCGGAAAACAAAATCTCCGTAGGCGTTTCCTCTCTCTGATGTTTGCTTTCCGATGCTTCTTCTGTGCACCCAATTCAGGCTGCGGCTGATGTTATAAAGATGATCAGCCAGAGATGCTTTAGGAAAGCCAGGCTCTTAAACTGCAGTCTCGGTTGCCAGCAGCAACTCACAAGCAAAGGTGAGGTTTAAAACAAGATGCACAACGAACAAAATCATTGCATGCGCGGAATTGAGGTCCTTCCACTTTTTCTCTCATTATTTCCATTGCGTAGAGAAAGAGTGATGAGTCTTCTTTGCTGGGCTATCTCTGCTGTTTCCAATATTAACTAAATTTCCTGCACTGCCAGAGTAATTAAACCACCCTCGAGTTAATTAAAAGCTCAGTCAAATCTCCTCGTAGTTCAGCTGGTAATTCCCAGACCCTTTTTCTCCCTCACAGCAACATGGAAATAACTCAGTTTTTTAGGATGACTCTGAATTTCCCAGTCTAGCCTAGATGCGGATATTGTTCAGGGGGCTCCCCTCCCAAATCCTAACCAGGCTTGACTTGCAGTGTGTCACATTAAGCCTGCTTTCTTCTATCTGGCATCTTTCGGATAATGTTGAGAGCCCCAGAGACATCACTCTGAGGAAGACGACACCAAGTCGTTGCTGAGTTCACACTTTGGATTAAGCCCTCAAATAACTTGTTAGGCTTAAGATGTTGATGGGTTCGGCACATGGAAGCAAGGTTTGTTGAATAAACCAAAGCTGCTAAGCTCAAAACCACCATAAGGACCTTCAACTGTGGCTTGCTAAGCAAAACTAGCCAGGTTGCAAATGTGTGAATGTTTTCTTCAATCTTCCGGGGGTCCATTGTGTCACGCAATCCAAATCGAGGTAGGAACACAGCCACGGTGGCTTACAAACCCTGGACATCTCTCCAAGGTCTTTTGAGTCCGGAATCCACAACGTGGCTCACAGATAGTAACTAGTCTAACCAAGATGCTTTGCCAGGGACTTTATATAGGGCATCTTTTTAAAATCCTCCCCAAGGCAAATTAGCCTCGGCTT